TATCCACCAAGGAACGTGCAACGAGTTTTCCGCCTGAAAACACTCCACGCTTTCCCACGACCGAATCGTTCAGCGAATCGCAAAAACCACAGCAAATGCGATTCGATGCGAAATACAGAAGCGCGGAACGTCTATAAAAATCAAATAAATACGATATTTGCATTTCTATCATCCAAATCTATTCAAATTCATCCATCCATAAGCATAATAACGAAGGATAATTTAATTAATGAGATTACATTAAGCTTTTGCTTCGTCTAATTTAATTTGTATCCAGTATTTTAACATTCAAAATCAAACTATTAAATTAAATTAAATGTACCAAATATACATTAATCCATGTTACTATATATATAATTTTGTTTAAAAAAATTATATGTTATTGTACTATTAATGGACTATTAAAAAAAGAAATATTAAAAGTTGAAAAAAAAAAGAGAATATAAATTTAAACAATATTCAATTGATAGCTTCAATGGTTTAATGTTGAAAAATTCTAAACTGAAATTCCTTGAATCCACAAATTGAAAAACTTTAAATTAAAATTCTTTTTTGTAAAAATTTTTTTTAAATAATTTTTCAGTATTATATTTAAATTTGATATTCAATAATTCTTAGTAATTTTTGACACGTATAACAAATATAATAACTTATCAATCCCAAAATAATAAACAAATTTTAATTATTATAAATGTAAAAATCATATCTATAAAAAATATTCATTTAATATTGTATTCATCTTTAACATTAAAAAAGTCACAAAAATCAAATTCACATTATTCTATTTTATAATATACTTTAGTTTATTTGTACTTTTATAAGCACAAATAAATTAGACTGAATGTCAAAACATATACTGTCTTGATTATAAACTATTTTCCAAAAAACAAATTTTCAAGATATTATATATCATAATTATATATATATATANATTAATATTTAATTAATATATAATATAAATATAATATAATATAATATAAATATAAATATAATATAATATATTTAATTATATTAATTAATATATTAATATATACCATATATTTTTTTGATCTCGATTCATTTGAAATTCAATACAACCCGGAAGTGTTTTTTCGAAACATTGTGTTGTTCGCGTCTCCAGTAGAGGAAAAAAAGCTGTCAAGAAGGATATAACGGAGTCAACAAGAAGGCATCGAGACGAATTCGCAACGCGTGTCATCACGATTCACAGTTCGTGTGTTTCAATGGCTAACCGAGTACATACCGTATACACCGAATAACGAATGAATCATAGGAACTCTCGCCACGCTGTACACACGAAACCGCGGTTCACTTTCTCCTCTCAGAGTCGTCCTCAATTACACGGAGCCGAGACCGAGGCCTCGNATTATACGGGTGAGGTAGCACCGGGCAACCTAGTGAATCGCGCATATATTTTTTCTTTCCTCTTCTTTTTTTTTCAGACTGGGAGAGACCCCTTTCACTCGTCTCGCGTCACCGAGACCTAGTTTTCTTTTTTCCGAAAAGACTAAAACGAACATTTTCTTATTTGTTTGTGACAAGCGTTTCTCTGCTTTCTATTTCCCCACTATGAATTGAATATCTTCCGTGCGTGTTCCACTATACGTACTACAAATATTGAAACTTGAGCAACATTGCTTGATAAAGAGGATAAAAAAAATAAAGCGAATATTAGCAAACCGAAATGAAAAAAATGAAATAAAATGAATTCGTGAAATAGAGATGGATTAATCATGTAAGTTATTAATTTGTGAATAATCTTAAAATTTGTATAACTTTAATAATTTGTCATGATATAAATCATATTTTGTTATAAAAGAGAGTTCTTTCTAATGTTTCTTTAATACATCTTTCTGTATTAAATTTATAATATAATTTAAAAGTTTTATTTTTTAATTAGTAAATTTTTAAAGAATTTATTTCATAATTAAAAATAAATATTAAAGTAACAATTAACGACATTAACGACATGTATTTGATACATTATATAAAACTTAATTAATGTGTTCAAAGAGAAATTGAAATTTATTCACAATAAAAATATATTTTTAAATTTTTAAAATTAATTAAATGATATTATGTAGATATGTCTAAGTAAATCACAAAAGTTTTTAAGAATTTTGATAAGTATTTTATCAAAATTTAATAAGTATTTTAAAAGAAATATTTATCATAAAATATTATAATAATTTATTCATTTTTAAAATAATAAGGAATCAATTATAACGAAAATAATTAACTTTACTCGCACTAATTATTCTATGACTGTTTGTAATGTTTATTCGAAAGTTTCATCATAGGCTGAGAACTAAACTTTCAACTTGATTTTCCTGTTGAGAAACAAATATAGACATTGCGGTACACATGAGTTACAGAGAATTACGGAAGAAGGAAATTTACGTACACAATTCTTCAATTTATCTCAAAGAGATTGAGTAAGTCAAAAATAAATAAAGTTTGCATAACTATGTTCATGTATGAATATTAAAAATGAAAATATGAAATTATATTTATTATAATTTATAAAAATAAAATTATATATTTAAAGTTATATTTAAGAAAAATTGATATTTTGTAAAATTTAATCTTAAAACTTTATCGCAATATTCTAATAAAAATGTACTAAATATTTTTTATAATATAATAAATATTAATCATATATAATTTTTTATTGAGTAAAAAAATTTTTAAATTAAATTTTGAATGTTTTCAACAAGAACAAATTTAATTAAAAAAAAAATATTTGAATAATTTAGAAGAAAACTACTTTAAAAACTTGACTTTATTATTATCGTACAAAACAAAATATAGATTTAACCTATATATAACCTATTTAGTGAGCAACTTTACCATATTAAAAAGCAAACAATAACAAATCAATTTACTTTTACAACTTTTTTATAGAGCTTATTATAAGTTCCAAGTAGCTAGCTCTTCTAAATATTGAAAATTACTTTATTTGTAAACTTTCAATTTTTTTTAACTTGCTCATAGAATATGATAGCAACTTAAAAAATATATTTTGTGAATAAATAGCTCGAATTAAATTAATTATAACATAGATTGCATAAAATTGATATAATATTGATATCGTGTAAAATACGGAAAATCATTATTAGTAAAATTTCATATATACATATAGATAAATATTTGACATAAAACAAATTTAATTTATTCAATTCTTTAAACATGAAGAATTAAAAAATGCGAATCCATAAATATTATACAATTTATTATATTGACATATTTTTAATATGAGTCATTTCAGTTATTATAAAATTCAAATCAAATATTTTTTAAGAAAATAATTTAAATAAATTTTAATTTTTAATAATAATCCTTTTAAATATAAACAATATCTATATTTTTAATACGATTTTAGATATGAAAAACGACCTTTGACATAAAGAAAGATGAAGCGAAGAAAGTGGAGGACGATAATGACGAGGTAGTATTCTCTGGAAGAGGAAATGACAGGCATAGGTACTATAGTGCCGAATAGTAAAAGTCGGAGAACAATGGATAAATGGAATGGTGCAGCCGAGACCTTTCAGGCAATCGGGTAACTGGCAAAAATCGTGAAACACAATGGATAGAAGAACGCCTTCCCTTCTGGTCCGCTTTGCAATTCCCCCACGTTTCACCAAGCATTCCCTAACGTAACCACTCGTACAACCTAACGCGCCTGCGCCCCGGCACACCCACTTGACCCCGAAGTTGAAAGAAATTAAATTATGTAGGCTCTAATGTGTTCTCCAAGCCACTAAATGGTCTCCATAAGCCCGGTTAACTTCCAAATTCCATCAATATTGCGAAATTTTTACGATTCTTCAAATGGACCATTTTGTATTAACAATATTTTAATTCTAATAAATTAAATAAAATATTTTATCATCGCGTAATAATCTTTATGTTAATTTTGCAATCGATAATGTTTATCATAAATTATTTATTAATATGATCAATAATTATAATAAGCAATGATTACAAACATAAATAAATAAATAGTATGATCTGAAAATTATTAAATTAGAATTACATTAAAAGATATTTAAAAATTTAATATAAAAATTATAAAAATTTCTATTTTGTATTTAATAAAATTAAATATGTATTATTTAATAGGATTTTGTTATTATATGTGATAAGATAATTTACTATATATTACTTTAAAAATTAAATATGAAATTATATATAAAAAATAAATGGATTAATTAATAATTTGTATGAAATTAAATCTAATTTTTTTATTCAAATTTCGTACATACTTTAATTAAAATAATCTACATATGTATATAATCTGTCCAACAAATCTAAGAGATAAATAAAATTGATCATGTAATGCATGCAATAGTACCAGTTATTGGTTACTAATGAATTATTATTTTTAAGAATAATTTTTTATCATTATAGAAAATATATCTATAAATTGAATGATTTGGTTGAATATTATTGAATAGAATTGAAACAAATATATTTATTCTATCTAAATCAATGAATATAATTTCCCCACATAAGAAAATTTTTCAATTTTCATCATGCAGTTTTATTTATTTTTGTTTAATTTATTGGATGCATTTATTGAAAAATTTTTTCAATAATTATAATTTAAATAAATATATCATATTTTATGATATTAAACCATATTTTTTAATTTGCATAAAATTTAAAAATAAATCACAATAATAATCTCAAATATATCTATTTAATTTTTATATTATATATTATATTTTCGTAATTATAATTCACGATTAATAAGTTACAAAGAAGTAAACATATACAGCCATCTAGCGGTACAATACTCAAATGTAAGAACGGTTAATATCGATCAACGATGACTATACAATGTCATCGCTTACAATACTTATCATTGAATGTTAATAGTAAATAATATCATATTATATTAATGACAGAGAAAACTCTAAATATAACTCTAATATTATAAATCTTTGTAAAATTAAAAATAATTAATTAAATAAACAAATATTTTAATCACATACCTTGTAAATTGTCCAGCATATATGATAGCAGCTTGTGAGTCCCTGATGGTTCTCCATACAATGCCAATATTTCCTTGCTGAGTGGATTACCTTGAAGTCCAAGCACTTGTAATTGAAACAATTTTCCTAATTCATATGGTAACACTCGGAGGTAATTTTGGTTTAATAACAATTCTCTGAAAGATAAACAAAATATAAATTAGTATACAGAAAGATATATATTCATTATATTTATATATATTTATATAAATGCAAATATAAATTATACCTGAGATAGATGAGGTCCCCCAATTCAGCTGGTAAACTGCGTAATTTATTGCTACTGAGATCTAAAGCACGTAAATTGACTAAACGTCCAATCTCAGATGGTATCCTTTGTAAACTATTATCATTGAGATACAAAGCTGTTAGATGAGTTAGTTGCCATAAATTTGGGCTTAAATTTCTTATACTGCCTGTTATCTCCAACTCTGGCCAATAAGATTTTTTTCCAGAGTTTGCATCCTCCGTAGACATAAAAGTATGTGTACGTCGTGGGTTGGAGTTTTCATACTTGTCTTTATGGTTGCGAGACATTTTAAATCCTAGACAGATATCAAAATAATATTTAAAAGAATCGAATATTATAATTTAACTATGGAATATATAAATTATAATAAATATAATCATTTAAATAGATTTCTTTAATATTTAAATAAAACTTCTAATTTATTTGCTATGTACTAATATATAAATATAATTTATTAGATTATAAATAGATTTAATTAATCTAAAATAAATAATCTAATCAATTAATCTAAAGAATTACATATAATAAATACGCAATATATGAAATATAATTTATTATAAAAATTAAATTATAATAATATTAAAATAATATACAATAATATCTTTGTATGTTAAATAAATAAAATTATAATCATATTAACTGCAAAATTTTTTTCATTATAAACTATATATATATATTTTTCAATATTTCATAAGTATTATGAATATTATGACCTTAAAAAAAATTATTTAATAATATAAAAATTAATTAAGAATAATACATAAAACTGCTTAATGTTTGATTATTGATATGATAAATTGTTTAATAATTTCTTATTGCATACATTAAACTAAATATAAAATTATTTTCATGAAAGACAAAGTATTATACATACATGTTATTTGTTTTGTTCATATTCTCTAATATAACTAAATCATATTTTTTACAGGGAAGAAATACAAATTATTTCACATTTATAACTAAATGTTTTATATTATTTAAGAATAATTTATTCAATTTGAAATACATCATTTAATACTACGAAAGTACATTCATAACCTATGAAGTAAAAATGTAGATTATTGAGTGCTTGATATTCAAAAGATAACCGTATTATTTCTTACGAACGTATTGAACAAAAAGTGTATGAGAAATACTAATATAATTTTTAAATAATGCTGTAAAAAGTAATATATTTTTTAATGTGAACAATCTTTTATCTCTAAACAGTTCATATGCACGACAAATTTTCGCATTAACATACATTTCTCTAACCGGATAGTTTCCCTACCTTTTAAATTTAATACGAAACCCGAAGGAAACTGTTACGCACCTTCATCTACCTCTTAGCACACACAAAACGCACGATGTGTTGATACCGAATGAAAATTTACGCGTAAACAAAACTACCTTGACAAACACAAATCCTCCATTTATCAACTGCACTGATCGCAAACTATAAGTGATCGTGATTGGTCGCGTTACCTCCGAATCTTCCCGAAGCAGCCGACACAACCAAATGATCATCTTATATTAAAATTGTACTAAACAGAGCATCTAGGGATTTTAATGAATATCATATTCACAATATGTATACATAACTTTTTAAATTTTTTCTATTAATATAATTGTAAAAGTGAGTTAAAGTAATAATCTCATTGAAATAAAGAATATAAAAACTTTTATTATTAAACTACTTCGCTATATTATATATATATATGTGTGTGTGTGTATATATATATTTAAGATTACTATAAGTGCTCTCTATAGGAACTATTAAGATACTATTTTACTTCAAATATTGTGAACTTTATCTTTATATTACTAGATAGCAGCTATTTTATACAAAGAAAAAGTATGTAAGTATAATGTTAATGTTACAGAAGATAGGCACGTGTGTTTTTGTTAAAAATGCATTAATGTTTTGTTAAGAACATTGATTTTTTCATTTCACTTATTATAAAATATACTTTTACTCAATATAAAACTTTCACGCGTATCAAGTGCATGAATAAAGATGGAATATAATGCCTTTCGAGGTAAGAATATTTTCCAATGTAACCTTTATTAATTTCACGCAATAAAATAAAACAGTATTAATAAATTAATGTGAAATTTGCAGATTATTGTAAAGCTGAAAATAGTGAAGATGAAGAAATGAATCATGATCTACAGTCACGATTATATGCTGAAATTTATTATAGTTCAAATGATACAAAGAATGTGGATACAAAAACAAATATTAAATTAGAAGATATTAATAATGATGATAAAACATTTCATAAAGATACAAATAGCAGTCAAATTAGTGATATTCGCATAAAAAATGATCCTGATAAAAAAACTTGTCCAATAAATGAATCGGCAAATAATTCAACATTAATAGAAAAAGATAATAAACCAGATATTGCATCTATTTGCATTACAAATGAAATTAATCAAACATGTGAGGATATAAATAACAAAAGTAATTCAGATATATCTCATGTGAAAATTTTGAAAGAAGAAAATATTGAACCTTTAAATAATGAACAACCTAAAGATAATGGACAAGTAATAACATGTCATAAGATAGAACATGATGAAAATAATTCAGATTATCAAAACATTCATAATATTGAAAAAGATATAAATATAAGACCAAAATCAGAAAATGAAATTAAAGAAGAATTAAAACCTTTACAATGCTTAAATAATGAAGCAATTGCAAATCAAGATACTTTACATTCTACAAAAGATAATATTGAAAATAACAATGAGAAATGTCATGAAATTATGAATAATGAAACAAAAATTGATAACATTTTTAAAAAATATGAGTTTTCCAAATCATTTATTAATAATTTGTATTTAAAAAAATATGAAAATCTAAAAAAAAGACTGCAAGAAATAGAAGAAGAAAAACAAAAAAATTTAAGAGAAAATGAACGTGTTAAAGAAAACAAAGAAAATCAGCGGCAAATCATTATTGAGCAAGAATTACATGCAAAATCTATAAATGATGTAGAAAGGAATACAAAATATGAAATACTTAGTAGATCTGACAAGTTACAAAAGAAAGCTAATTATTCAGAAGAAATAATGTTGCTATCATCAGATACAGAAAGTGATTCTGAAGAATCTATTTTAGAAGTTCCTATTCCACCAAAACCTCAACCACCTGTCATAAATTTACAAGATTCAGATGAAAATTCTGAAACATCAAGTGATAATAGTGACATAGATGAAGAATCTTCATTTATTATAGAAAAAAAAAATGATTTGGTAGAAAATACCAAAAAGAAAACTGTTGTAATTGACCAGAATTCAGATAGTAGTAATTCAGTTATAGATTTTATTGATGATACACCAACAATAGAAAACATAGTACTTAACTGTACAGAAGTACAGAAAGGTGCTTCAAGTATAAAAGAAATAATGGAAATGAGTAAAATTGTTCAATCAGATCAACACTTTAACAAAGATACAAATTCTTGTGAGAAACATAATTCTTCTAATGAAAAAGAAATTTATATTAAAGATTTTAATAAATCTGATGATTTATTCATATCTAACAATGATAAAGACAATAAATCTAATTTTCAATCACCATCAAAAACAATTAACGATAAGAATGTTATGTATGAAAGAGATAAGAAAGAATTAAATAATTTTACAAAAGATGTAGTAGTATCAAATTTCCTTAATTCCAAAGAATTGACTTCAAGTAGAAAAAGACACCATGAAAATGATAGTGAACCTTCCACAAGTGAAAGTAAACGTTCTAAATTAAGTTGTGAAGAAGATAATAATAAAGATAAAACTAATGAAGACTCATGGGCAGAATATTTTTTTCGCCCTATGTCACAAGATCTTAAAGCTTTTTATGAATTCCAAGGACAAGAAAATTTTGATATAGGAGAAATTCAAAGTAAAATGTCAAGTGAGTTTTTATTAAAAATTAACTTTATTTATAAATTTATTATTTTTGAATGTTTTATATTTTAAATAAATTATAGAGGACCCAAGACTTTGGGCTATTTTAGATGAAGACCTGATGCCGAATTTATTAAAAAATAAAAGATATTGGAATATGAAATGTACTAATTGTCATCAACCAGGTCACCAAAAACATAATTGTCCAGAACCATACAAACCTCTTCGATGTTATATGTGTGGTATTCAAGGACATATAGAAACTCGATGTCCTCAAAAAATGTGTCTCACGGTATAAATATATTATAAAAAATTATTATATATAAAAAATATTATATTATAATAATAACATATAAATTCTTTGTGCAGTGTGGTAGAAAACAAAATACATTTAGAAAAACTTGTGAGTCTTGTGTTGTATTATATTGTAATACATGCAATGCTATAGGACATGAATCAACAGAATGTCCAGATCTTTGGAGAAGATTTCATCAAACAGTGAGTTTACATATAAATATTATATATAAATGCTTTATACAATTATAATTTAAATATCTTAATATTTTTGCTAATTTTATATATTGTAGACACGAACATCAGAGATAAATATACCACAAAATTTATCTGAAGTTATGAAACCTGCAGACTTATTGTATTGTTGTAATTGTACGAAGCGAGGTCATGATTCTTCTACATGTAACGAATATCGATGGTCACAACATTTTCCGACACCAGCATTTGTATCAGATTATACAGGAAAACCAGAAGAAAAATCCAGTCAATCAGAACAAACAACCAATCAAATTTCTGTTCGTGAAAATGAAGATATAATACCATTAACTAATAAAAAAAATAAATGTATGATATTTCTTGAAGGTAAAGATGATCTAGAAAATTCTTTTGTTGTATACTCATATGGAAAATTTTATACAAAAAAGCCTAACGGCGAGGAAATTAAACGAAAACTTTTGGGTGAACAAATTCAACCTTCTCATATAACAAATCTTTTAAAAGGTCGAGTTTCTCCACATTTCTTAGATGAGTTAATAAAAATAATTCAATTTGAAATTAAAATATATTATAATTCAAATAAAGAACTAATGTTAAGAGTTCGTACTATAGCAAATAATGCTGTAAATATAATAAAAATATTCATTTTTTGGCTTAAACTTAATGATGAAGATAAGAGTCTAAAGATGCATATAAATTTACCTCGTAATAGAAAAAAATTACTTAAATTTTTGATACAAGAAATAGGTGAAATAAAAAGAAATTTAAAAGATCCTAATCATCTTTGTACTGAAATAGATCAATTAAAGAAATCAATGACTGAGATTCAAGATTCTGCAATATCGATTTCTACTTCAAAAAAAATCATAAGTCTTCGAAGTGAATTGCTAAAAGTGTTTCATACATTACCTAACTATAATCAATTATTTAAAAAATTAAAAAAAATGATTAGATATTTAGATAGATCACCAAACAATGATGTAAGTATAGGAATATATTTACATATTATTGCTATTTATAATCAAATATTTGTACCTCGTGCATTGACAGACATTGAATTAAAACGTCTTCTTAAAGTACATTATAAACATAAAGAAAAACAACTTAAAAATGAAAAAAAAAAGATTCAAATTAAAAAGCAAAAAGATAAGAAACTTTCTTCTTATGAATCATTCATAGAAAGTTTACAAAAATTTAATTCTAAAAAAACATGTAATATCACAAAAAATAATGATGCATGTTCATCAAAAAATATTGAAATAAAAGGTAAACAAATACCTACTATTCTTTCTGTAGAAAATGTTCTGATAAATAAGATGCAAACATATAATGCAGAAAATGTTAAAATACACAATGTAGGAAATATTACAGAATCTACTGATAAGCCTATACAATTACCACATAATCAGGATATTTCAAATAATAATGAAATAACAAATCCTATACAAAAATCAAATTTAAAAATTATTTCATCAAATTTAATTCCTATAACTCTTCAAAAATCTATATGTACTAATGTAACATCAAGAACATCTAAGAATGTACCTTGTGCCAAAATAAAACCCTCAGGAAGTACAGAGAAAAATTTAGAAATAATGAATAATAGTAATGAAAAAATAAAAACAAATAATTTACAACAAGAAGATAATATAATTGATTCTGAAATAAATATCCTCAAAAAGAAAAAATCTAAGAAAGCAAAAAAAGCAAAATTAGATCTTGAAAATAATTCAGATGTTATAGAAGATCAAGTAGCAAATGTTGGTACATCTATAGAGAATAAAGCTAATGAAATTATAAATGAAGCTCTTGAATTTAATGTACCATATATGAATAAAGCAGTTGAAGAGATTAAGAAAAGAATAAATGATAAAAATCTTAAACAAGAACATATTGATACTTTAATAAGATTGGTAAATTTGGAAAAAGATCACAGGAAATATGTAAGTTCATTTTGTAATTATCTGCAATAAACTTTATTTTTAAAATAAGAAATAATAGTCTTTATTAAAAGCTTTCATTATATACTGATATGCTAAATGGATGAAATAAAAATCTATTGGCATTTTGAAT